TGCAGTGACTTCAGTCACATATTCCCCTCTCAAACAGGACTGGTAGGGAGTGCTTGACCGGGTTACACCTGGGATGAAGACCCAGTAGGCTAGCCCAAACCAGGTCCCTGGGCCTGGCAGTGCACCCTAATGCAGTGAAGCCTTCAGCAGGTTGATTGACCTGGAGGGGTGGATCTAGCCTAGGCTGCTCACATCTGTGTCTCCCTAGTACACTGCAGTGGGCAGGAACACCTAGCCAGCGCAATTCAAACAAACTGTAACAGACCAAGAAAGAAACTGGGCCTCTATATATGCTTATATGGAAGGAACAAAAAGTATAGGAAGAGGGAGCAACAAGAAAGGGTCCTCAGTTCCCAATCTGGAGAACACTGATACAGGAAACGTAAATGGAAAGGAGAATGAGGACAGAAAACATGTAATATCAGGCATGGCACCAATAGACATAAAGCGGTATCTCCTCATAGATGAGTTCATAGATGAGTTCAAAAGTGAAGTATTTAACCAAGTAAAGCAAGATATACACCTCCCAAGAAAAAACAGATGGTGTAATGAAAGAACAGAAAAAAAAGGGGAAAATTGTTTGATGGAGGAAATAGAGAAAAATATAGAATACATGAAGCAGGTTCAAAGAGATTACCAGGAAACTAAAAACTCTATTGAAAGCTGGCATAACAGCTTGAAAGAAACTAAGGATAGATTATCTGAACTGGAGGACAGATTTGTAATGTGGGAGCATGAAAAGAAAAACTTCTTAAAAATAACAAGGAAACAAGTAGTAACAATACAGAGGCTAGACAATGATAAGAGGATCTATAACTTAAGGATTAAGAATGTAAAGGAAGAAGCAGAGATACAAACAAATGAACTGCAAAGGCTATTCACAGAAATAATCAAGGAGAACTTCCTTAATATGGGAAAAAGTAAAGATACTCAGATCTATGAGGCATACAGGACCCCAGCCACCTACAAACCAAACAGAACTAAAACCAGGCAAATAATAATCAAAATTCCAGAAATCTAATATAAGAACAGAATATTAAAAGCTGTCAGAGACAAGAAATAGATCACTTACAAGGGAACACCCATCAGAATTACAGTAGACCTCTTGGAACAAACCATCAAATCACAAAGAGCATGGGGGGAAATAATTCGTTTTGAAAGACAATAACCTCCATCCAAGATTGATATATCCTGCACAACTGTTCATAGAAATTAATGGAGAAACAAGGTGCTTCCAGGATAAAGAGGAAGTAGGGGAATTTGCAAACACCAATTCAACTCTACAGAGAATACTGCAGGACATTCTAAAAGAGAAAAATACCAAGATTCCAGAAACAGTGGCAGAGAGGCCACAATGAATGGAGCAGAAAGCAAAATGAAGAAGACAAACTGACAACTAATGACAGAAAAAGAGCGCAACAGAAATGAGGCAGAGAAGGTTGGATGGTATAAACAGCTATTTTGAAGAAAACAAGACATTATAATAGCTAGTGCTGATTTAACATCATCTTGCTTTGAAGTCCCATTAAGCTTTTGTTCTTCTGTCTCCATCGGTCTTAACATGTTGTATCTTATTGAATTTTATTATATGTGATAATATAAACAAAATTCTTTTATAGACAAGGAGATAATACAGAAACCATTGTTCATTTTCTGTTAGTTGGTTCTAAATACCCTGTAATACTGTCATTCTCTTGAATGGTTTTACATTGTCTTGATATGTTTGATGCTACAGTATATGAAGTTGTACTCAAAGATTTCAAGCAAAGAGACACTATGGTAACTACTTTTATGTTGGGATATCTTGTGGTGAAACACTATTTTGCTTAAATGGTTATGTTCTGAACTGTGCTGTTTTGTTATGTCCTCTTTTATCTCAATCTCCTTTTTTATTATTTATTTTTTTATTTTTCTTTTTAATTAAGGGAAAAAAATAAATAAAAAATAGTAGGATATATTATAGTAATCCACTTTGATTTCCTATTAACTTGATTTGAAACCCTGTATTGCTCTCACCATCTTGTTTTGACTGATTTTACTCTATTCTGTTTTGCTTGATAGTACCAAGTTTAGAGTATAGGCAACCACTGTGAAGACAATAGGATTCTCTATGATGCCCATTCTGGTTTGACTACTATCTTCTTTTGAAGTCCTGTAATGTCTCCAATGTTTTGGTTTTATTGGTTTTGTTCTTTACTGTTTTGTTCAGTTTTATTATAACTGATGATATAGGCAATTCTTTTTAAGATAGTAAAGGCATTATGGTAACCATTGTTGATCACCTTGTATTCTGTTTTTACATTATGTACTATGTCCATCCTTTTGATTTGACTGACTGTTTTGGTATGTCACATTTGGTTTTATTCTCTTCAAAAAAAAAGTAATAAGAACTGTGGGAGTAACAAAACCCAAAATGTGTAATTGTCGTTGTAAAAAAGAAAGGAAAAGAAAGTGCTCTAAAGGATATAACTGCATGTATATTTAAGCGTATAAGATAGATAACCATATTACTGACTTTTGTTGGATCATTGAACAGAACTGTTTGCAGTCTCATTGTTTGAATGTCCACTTTATAAGCTTTAATTTTGTAACGACCAACTATTTCTAAGATGACAATATGTAATCTATTAACTAGTGATTTTCTACTCTTTATTTTTTTTGAAATTCTGTGTAACTTGTACCCTTTTTCTGTTTTTTTTTCTTTTTCTCCTTAAATAAAATTAAAAAAAAAAAAAAGTGGCTGGCATTACCATGCCACGAAATGTTCTATCTCGGAATTTTCACCTGTGTGTGTGTGTGTGTGTGTGTGTGTGTGTGTATAGGTAGGGGCATACCAACATGTGACTTGTTTAAAAGTCTGAGTTCACTCAGCCAAGCATGATGGTGCACGCCTGTAATCTCAGCATTTGGGGAGCTGAGACAGGAGGATCACTGCTAGTTCAAGGCCAGCCTGGGCTACAAAGTGAGTTTAAGGCCAGTCTGACCTGCATAATGAGACCTTGTCTTAAAAAGACAAAACACAAAACAAAAAGGCTGAATTCAGGTAAGCTGTATTATTTCAGGGAATATATAGTCAACATATTATTATTATTATTATTATTTTATTATTATGACTGGTCTTTTTGAGACAGGGTCTCACTATGCAGTTCAGGTTGACCTTGAGTTCACTTTGTAGCCCAGGTTGGTTTCAAACTTGCAAGGATCCTCCTGCCTCAGCCTCCCCTGTGCTGGGATTACAAGTGTGCACCACCAAACTCTGCTATTCAGCATTATTTTTACCATCCTTTATCTTAGAAATACTTGGTTTTCCAGTTAATGGAGAAAAGGTTGTAATTTATGAACTGCAGTCAATAGTGAGGAACATCTACTACCCCTCCAGAAATGCTAGATGCTTATTAAACAAAGCACTGACAATCACTTTACTTCTCATACCTATACCTAACCAGAGACTGCAACGAGCTGAAAGCAACATGCCTCACTGTAATAGGTTTAACTCATCTACCCAGAGGCAACAATTATGTAGATAACTGCTTAAAGTATAAAGTTTAAAAGCATATAATGAAAATAAAAATTTAAATTATTACTGATCTTATTTTTTAAGACCAAATCCACACCTATAAAAATATGTGTATATATTTCTGTGCCAGATACTGGTTTCTCTCACCTAGAACTAGTATGTGGGTAATGAACTTAGATTATATAGACTTTGAAAGTTAACAGCATCCTTTCATATAAATGGCTAGATTACTGCTTTGAATTTTTAATTGGGTTGAACACAAATACATTTTAGATCACATAATAAATTTCCATTATAAAAATACTATACTAAATTGAAATGTAATAGTGAAACCTTGAAAAATATCTCTTGTAGTTTTTTGCAGTTTTGATTTTTTTTTTTTTTTTTTTGGTACTGGGAATTTTGTCAGGTAGACACTGTCTCTGAGCTACCTCCCTGACCCTTCTTTCGTGCTTTTCAATGCAAAGAAATAGAAAAAGAAGAGGGGGAGGAGAGAAGAAAGGGACAGTGAGGGAAAGAAAAAGAAGTCAAAATGAATCACTAAAAACAGCAACTAAAATGTAATTATATATTCCACAAGAAATATTCCACAGACAAATACAGTACAGAACCAGAAGGAGGAAACTCATTGAATTATCATGGGAACAACTTCAAAGAAAAAAAATAGAGAAAATTTAAATCATTAAAGATTATATACACATCTGGTTATCTGATATGGCACCAGATTAATGAGGGTTAATTAGAGAAAATAAAGAATAAGCTCTGTAGCCTCATGGAACAGTGACAAATAGAATATGTTCTAAGAATTCAGCTACCATATCTCTACATGAACTCAATTTAGAAAAGGTGAGGGTGTGATTTTAGCTACTCAGGAAGCTGAAGCAGGGTGATCACAAGTTTGAAATCAGGGAAACTGAGCAAAACATTGTTGCAAAGCAAAAAATAATAAAATCAGGTGTGGTGGTGCATGCCTTTAATCTCAGCACTCAGGAGGGTAAGACAGGAAGACCACTGTAAGTTGGAAACCAGCCTGGATTATAAAGTGAGCTCAAGGCCAACCTGAAAACCTCGCAAGATGCTGTCTCAAAAAAGAAAAAAAAAAAAAGAATTAAAACTTAAAAATTAAACAAATAAAAAGAGAAAGAGATGTACCTTACTGGTAGAGTATTCTCTTAACATGCATAAGGGTTTAAACCCCTGTATCCTACCCCAAAAAGGAAGAACAAACTAAAGAAAAAGAAAAGGTGAAGGAATATAAATGGCAATCTGAATATTTACTGAGTTCCAGGTACTATTCTAAGTGTTCAGATATATTCATTCCATGACTGCATACCGCAGTGCTAAGAGGCAGGTACTCTTATCAACCTCATTTCACAGACGTGAAAACTGAGGTGCAGGGAGGGTAGCTTTAAGATAACTCATTGCCAGTAAGCAGTGGGACCAAGATCCAAATGTTCCGATTGATCCCCGCCCGTATGCCGACACTGGGACTGAATGGCCCTGTCTAGCACAACACAGAGCGGGTCACTGCAGGGGTCAGAAGACAGTGGACAACGCCTGCTGCGCCCCCAACAGTCCTCACTGCCTGTGACAGCACTGGAAGAGGGGGTTTGCTCTCCAAGGCTAGTTTAAGTCTGCTATTTATTTGGCTATCTGGAAAGGGCACAGCACAGTCTTAGAACAAGTCAGCATTGTATTTAGTTCCTGAATGCCTTGCTGTGATGGTGAGCGAATACACTTCTGCAGACAGCCTCCCAGAGCAGCAGTCCTGTGACGTGTTTATAGGTACAGAGACTGAAACACTACGGATTGTGGGCACCACAAAGGTATGAAGAAATTCTAATAAGCAAAATGCCATTACTAATTGGCTGATAACTACTAAAAGGAATTCCTTTGAAACTATTTGAGATTTGCAAATTAAACGGTAAGATAACAAAAAGTCTCCCTCCTCCCACTTCATCCACGTTGAATCTGATGAAAGTTAAAATTCTGTCAAACTCTTAGATTCAATGATTTTACTTGTTGTTTGGTGAAATTATAATTTCTGGTGCGTCAGCTGACTCATCTGTGGGCAGATGTGTGGTAGTTCCACTAAATTTATCAAGATTGTGTCTCACTGTGCAGACGATAACACTGATTCTTAGATAATGACAAGCTTTGTAAGGTAGGTGCCGGGAGGGAGCATGTGTACATTCATACAAGGGGTGTGTGTGTGTGTGTGTAAATTCTGAGGAACACCTGTGACTGACGCCTATTCTGACATAAATAACCCTTAGCAGAAGAGCGCACTGGAGTTCCTTTCACAGGGGCACAGTGCCCTCTACTGGTAGAAACACAGATTTCTGAATCTGATTTTTCTCGTTAATTTTCAGAGGCACAGCTAAGAATGTTTATGTTTTGGAACCTTTTACAATTTTTAACTGAAGAGTCTTTTTACTAGAAGAACACATTTTAGTTGAAATAGCCCACCAGCATAATGCTGTAGGCTGGAAAGGACTAAACACTACTTTTGTCCAGAAACTAATCCTGCTGGTAATGTCCAGAAGACCGTTCGTTTGTTGGTATATTATCAAATCTGTTATTTTAAAAATACTGGAAATATCTCCAATATATCTGAAAGGTTTCCAAAGCCACCAAAATAGAGTAATTATAGAATATATTTAACATAATGCTCAAAATGCTCTGAAATTTTCTTTTTAAATATTAAGGGCCCCACTTTTCATGAGTATTTTCCTTTGTTTCAAAAGTTAAAGCTTTGAGTTTTTCCTTTAAATATCAAAGTTTATAATAAGTAAAATGTAAATAGTTTTATTATAAATTTAACTTGCTGTGATAAAAGTGCCACATGAGTTATCTGACCTCAAGGCAGCCCCATCTGCAGCTTTGTACTACCATAGCACCTGCAATGACTGAAATAGTGTATGTGAATTCAAAGCATGAAGTTCATAAAAATCAACAAGAAAATTTTTAACTCTTGCAGGCAGAAATAATTTCCTTGACACTTTATTTCCATTTCTTTCCACTGTAGAAAACCAAAGAGGAAAGAATTCAAAATAACGTTTTTTAGTGATGAATACTCAAGTCGAATTTCATTCCAACAATGGGGATATACAGTTTTTCTAATCTTGTGTATTTTTCTTTTTTAACTAAGCAAAATAAAAGTAATTGAGGATTTTTTTTTTTATCAGTACTAGGGATCGAGCTCATGACCATGCGCTTGCAAAGCAGGCGCTTATGCCGCTGAGCTAAATCCCCAGCCTGGAGGATTGGTTTTTACGCTGAATAAATGTAGAGCTTGTTTCCGGATATGTTACTTACTGCCAAAATAAGAGGAAAAATGAAGACATTCCTATTTCACTTTGATAACTAAGATTTTCACATTTGTGTTTCCCCTGTTTTCTGGCAGGTCAATATTTGCTGCACTACAGATAAGGCACTGTGGTGGGCACATGGGTCCTTGCTGCTGGGGAACCAACAACTGGCAGGGAAAGCTGAGTCCCTAAGCAAGTGATTATAAAATGACATTTTAAATAGAGTTTTCATTACAAGTGATGTAAGAGTTTTGTGTAATTCTCTATCTCACCCCACGCAACACTATCACAACCCTGTTTGTGAAAACGCCCTCTCTCTTCCCTTCTTTGAGGGATCAGAGGAGATGGAGAGTCATGCTTCCAGCTCAGCTATGCAAGGAATCACCACTCACTCTTCTCTTGCTCAGCTGTCACATCGCTACAAGGTTGAGAGACACCGCCTGCAGTAGGTGCAGAGAAGTGGAGAGAGCCTCACTGCCTGTGTCTTCTCCTCTGTAGCCTGCAGGACAATGCTTCCCTCACATACAAATGACATCGGACACCACAGCAACAATTTCTTCCAACTGAATTCTAATCCTCTGGGAGAATTTATGCCTTTTAAAATATAAGCATTAAACCAAGAAATTCTACGTAAATTAAAAAAGGAATAACAGCATTTAAAACTGCCAAGGCTGTCAGGAAAATAAGGGGTGACTGAAACACCCCTCAAGGTAAGACTGGTCATGGTAATTAGGGAGCAGAATATTTTGCCCACATTAAAAAAGGATGGTGTGCTTCAGTACACATTGGAAGCATCTAGAAAGATAAGTGAGGAACTAATAGTGGTTATTTCTGTTAGTGGTTGTGAATTTATATCTTTATATCTTTTGATGTTGCTTGAATTACTTCTGGTACTGTTTTGGAACCGAGGGTCTCGCACTGCTGTGTATCCCCAGCTCTTAGCAAAACAGGATCTTGGCCTTGAACTTCCAATTCTCTTTCCTCAGTCTCCTGAGTAGCTGGGTTTCAGGCATTTACACCATATCCGCCTGAATATGGATTATTTTTTTGAATTTTTAAAATGAATCCTTTGAGTGTTTTAATACATTTTGATTGACAAAAAGAAAAATGAAAAGTAACAATTGTGCTGAGGACAGTAGAAAGAAAACAGGCGTCAGGAGACTGAGATCTTTTCCCAAAATCAGCGGGATAAAAAGCAATGGTTAAAATTTTTTGGTCAAAGGAATTAATTTGATACATTCATTTGTCAAAACAAACTGTTGATCTGACAAATCATTTTTCAAAAACACTACTGAATTAGGGAAAGTGGAGAAAGAAAATAAATGTTTTCATGAGGTGTGGGACTAATAAACCAGTTTACAAGGCGGAGGACAGAGGAAAAGAGACGAAGACAAAGAGATTCACAATGATCAAGATGTGGATGGATCAGTCACCCCAAAAGAACACCACTATTATATATCAGAAATATACAGTAAGACAAAACGAAACCAAGCACCGTCTGTTTCCACAGCCATCTTCACTAAGTTTCTTATTCATGTGGTTTATTTGAAATATCACTCCAACGTTAACACTCTAAGGAGCAGAGCAAAACGACATGTCGCCTTCACCCGTGGAAACCTGTATTGCATAAATTTCAAAAGCTTTGTTTAATGCAGAAACTAGTTAATATAGAGAATGTAGAATCGGAAGATGATGGATTTGCACAAGGCCTCAAGCTACTCAAGTGACAAGTTTTGTGCTTAAGACAGATTTCTTCATGAGGATGCCACATCACAAGGAGCCAGTTTTTTAAAAAATTGATTTTTGAGGAAAACGTAATTCAGAAACACATAACACTGCTTTAAGATGTCGACTCAAGCCAGTCTTGGTGGCTTACAGCTGTAATCCTAGATACTCAGGAGACTGAGGCAGAAGGACCACACCTTTGAAACAAGCCTGGGCAACTTTAGCCAAGTTCCTATCTCAAAATAAAACTAGCAATCAAAAGCTGGGGATGTACCTCAGTGTTATGAAGTTCTTGCTTCCATGCACAAGGCCCTGGGTTCAGTAAAAATTCTCGTATATGACTCTCCAATTAGCAACTGAACGAGGCAGAGATGAACTAGACTATGGCAACTGGGGAAGACGGCACACCAGGATGGAGCCGTGGCTACAAAGGGCCAGTGGTGGGCTGCTGCAGGCCCAATGGAGAGGCAGAGGACAGGTCTCCAGCAATGCATGTCACACAGTGACAACACAGAAGGGAAACAGAGGAGAGTAATCTAAAAAAATTCGCTAAGAGGTATCAGAGATGCATTAATTTAAAAACCTGTAGAAGAAAGCAGAAAAGAAAGCCAGAAGGATGCAACAACAGTCCCTTATTTTGTAGTGTCGCCTGAGGCTACCAAAGGCTTTTACTGATTTCGTTCTCAAGAAAAGTTCTTTTTTCTGTCAAGTACTTAATTTACTGATCAAATTATAAGTCAAATAATAAAATGGTACCAGTCTGAATTTATTCACATTTATACTAACCAAAGCTCAGTAATGCTTGAGGAGAGCCAGGTGTAATAAAAAGGCACCTCGAAGGTCAAGTTTTGGAATTTTTACCCAGCAAGTAATAAATTACACTTAGTAATTCACATGTCCTCCCACCCTGATCCCAGCACAGGCCAACAACACAGGCCAACTTCACGTATCTAATTTCTGACACAGTATTTTGGAATTTGAATTTTGAGACTAAGTTACAAGAATTAAAAAATATAGGTTCAATGGTCCACATATGACACTCAAGGTAGGAGTCCATTATTGCAAGGGAGTTTTAAACAAGGAGTCCTACAGGGAGAGTAGAAATCTTGCAGCTCTAGAAATCGGTAACACTGACATCATTATAGGAAAGACATGTGACTTAATGAGATTTGCCAGGTCCAAGCACAAACACTGCCAGCTGGATCACTACACTGACAGTATTCAGTGCTTCAAAGGGGAGCCACATGCTTCAGCATGCCACAAGAATTACTTGCACTGTAAGAAATAGTACAAAATTGGCCCAAAACATCCAGTAGCTTACTTTCTTCTTGCTCTGACTGTAGAATAAGACACCACTTTAATGTGGGCTACTGGGAAATGTCCCACCAGGAATGAACCTACTATGTGGGAAGTGAATCTAAGAAAGCTTCTTGTCAGACACAGGTGCACAGAACTGTGTGTCCTGAATCAGTAGTTATCAAAACTTAGTGTGCTAGTTAAAGACACTGAGTTCTTCTACCTGCTCCCAAAGCTTTTAGTTCAGCTGAGTCTTGGGAGGATCTCAGCCTGCATTTTAAATGAATCCTTTGAGTATTTTAATACAGGTTGTTCATGCTCCATACTTCAAGAAACACTGATGTTAAAGGTATGAGAAATCACAAAGGAGACTTTTTCTATAGTATGAGTCCACTGGGCAGTGTGCCTCTGCCCCAAGAGGGTAAATTACTAGCCACTGCATCAATCACCTATTAATGAAAATTTAACAAGGAAAACTCAATGTATGTAAGTCATTTATTATAATGAAGTTTTTGTATGCTTCTCAAAAAGGGGTCATCTTCTGAACCACTCACTCACTGGGTAACACGGTCTAGTCCCTATTAGGAGAGCGATGAAGGGAAACAAGAAAATCAGTAACAAAGGCAAAAGATAACCACCCACTTATAATCTACTAATGTAAAAATATACACAAAGGGCACTGAAGACCCAATCAGTTAATTAACTCCCTATCCTCAATTCTCCTATATGAAACTACTACTGAATTAACTTATCCTTAAACATCAGTTATTCAAATCACTTTCAGCTTCAGAACCTACACCGAGTGCTTCTTCTCTGCATATGGGCACTAGGGATGACTCAGCTCCCCACGTTATTCCAGTCTCAACCCATCAAATTTTGTTACCTATTCCTAGTAAAAATCTGCCAGCTCCTGGCAGATGAGGTTCCCACTTTGCCAACCTCTGTACTGAAGTTATACCATGCTCTAGTTGGTTTCCTACTTGGTCAGGACTCACTGACCCCCATTCCAATCTGGAATTCCTTTCACCCATTCTCTGTCTTCAAGAGAGTCCCCAAGGCAAAACCCAAGCTCATTTTCACACTAGCATTCCTTTTCTCATTGCCTGTAGCAAGCATTTCAAATCCTCGTCAAATATGGAAGCACTGGACTACGTTCAACTATCTGTTCTGTCTCACCATTCTTAATCTTTTTCACCTCCAACAACTTTCCAAGTCCAAGGCCATGACATTCACAGAATTTTCTAGTACCTCCTCCCTACCTGGTCTAGTTGATCAACAGCTACCACAGCTTAGGTATTTAATTATCAGCAAATTATATCTCAACAGATAACTATAAATTAATCCATGAAACAAATATCTGATAAACATCATAACTTTTCCTCTGTATCAGGGCTGCCCCAGGTCAGCTGCCTCTGTTCTCAACTAATCCTTCATGTCAATCCATAAAAACAAAACTGTGAATTCTCTCCCCGCTACCAGCATCTAGAGAGCTTCTTTATCACAGATTCTGAAAGGTAATCAGAACATTTGCTGCTTGCACGTCACAGGGACTGGTATTGTCCAGACTAAAAGGCCTCAGTCTTCTACTGCATGACACTAAGCTCCTGAGACTAAGGTACAGTGTAGAGTTTATTTCCTGTGTTCTATTTAGTACTGGTAGATGGAATACTAGACTCCAAACTGAAGATATCACATAATCTTCCATCATTAAAGATTTCTATCTATGATTATTCCTTACTGAAAAAAGGATGGGACTATAAACGGCAAATAAAGAGTACCTAAGAATAAACAATTCTCACAAGACCTGGTATTTATGATTTTTAAAAAATCATAGTAAAATATACATGATATAACATTTACTATCTCAATACATTTATTGTTATATTAAGAAAACTGTGTAAGTCATGCCATAATAGCAGCTAAAATATGCCATGTTTAGCTAACAAAAAACCAAAAACTAAAAAAATCCTTGCTACTTAGTTTATTTAGCTAACTCCTGAATTTGAAGCTTATTGCTATTAAATACCTTTTTTACACTATAAACATTTTATTGGTGAAAAAAACAATTGTTTTACTGTTTATATCACTTGTATTTCAGGTAGTGAAATAAAATACTGAATATTACACTTTCTAGTTACACTTTCTTATAAATGGCTCCAAACAATAACAGCAGCTAATTTCTATATAGAACGTGTTATGTATCAAGCGCTTGTTAGATGCTTTACATATATTAGTTTTTCTTGAGGTATAAATTCATATATCATAGTCACCCTTTTCAAGTGTAATTTTAAGAAGATTCCACAAAGTTGCGCAACTGTAACCATTACCTAACTGCAGGTCATTTTCATCACCCCAAAAGAAAATCTATACTTATAAGCAGTCACTATTCTCCCTTGCACTCCTGCCTTCCCAAGTCTCTGGCAGCCACTAACCTAATTTTTGTCTCTGTAGATATGCCTACTATGCATATTCCATATGAATAAATCATACAATTTATACTCTTTTGTGTCTGGTTTCTTTTACTTGGCATATTGTCAAGGTTCAACCATTTGTAGCATGTTTTAGTATCCTGTATTACTCTTTAGGTCCTTGAAACAAACACAATAATTGATATCATTTTACATAAACAACAACATAAAGTAATGACTCTCTCTAAATATACTCACTGTACTTCTATGGAGATGTATAAGCTACGAATGTGGTATTAATTACATACAAACTTGCAGAGTGTATATTTTTTATAATGTGCTGTTAGGTAGGTTTATGACCATGAGTAAAAATCACACTCTAAATTTTATCTTGTATAAAAATATAGCCAATAATTTCTATAGTGCTTTCAAGCTCTAAATTCCAGTTGTTTTTAGAAACATTAAGGGTTTATTTTTCAACTCTGAACTAATGCTCCATCTTTCAAAATAATTTCAATACTGATTAATAACCACAACTGGTATCTCAATATACTGTACAGATTTGGGCTTCTAAAGTATATAATAGTATGCTTGTGGACATTGTCAAGGAAGCATAGTTAGTAGTTTCTCTTCCAAGTGCTCTTATTTAAGTCAGCCTCATAAAGAATCCAAACAGCTGGATAAGTTTAGAGATATAAGCTCTAAAAGAACTTTGAAGAGAGTCTCAAAAGCCATCCTGAGGAACGCAGAGTGTTCACCAACTGTGTGGTATAAAAGATCCAAACACCAAGTGCTTCAGGGGGCTTTGGGTTTGTCACTTACACCGCTGTGCAGGAGGTAGACGCAACCAGGAATGCAAGTGGATGGAAGAGTTATGGAACCAAAGACAGCTGTCTTAAAAGAAGATTCTCAAAGACCAGGGGCTCACCTAACTGTGAAGATGTTTGTTGGTGGCATTAAAAAAAAAGATACTGAAGAACATCACCAATGAGATTATGCTAAACAGAAATGACTGAAATTATGGCTGATCAGGCAGTGGCAAGAGGAGGGGCTTTGCTTTTGTAACTTTTGATGAGCATGATCTGTGGATAAGATTATCATTCAGAAATATCATAATCTGAATGGCCACAACTGTGAAGTGTGACCACTCTGTCTAAGCAAAAGATGGCTAGTGTTTCATCTAGACAGAAAGGTGGAAGCAGTTCTATAACTTTTGATGGTGGCCATGACAATTTTGGTTATGGAGGAAACTTCAGTGGTCAAGGTGGCTTTGGTGGCAGTTGTGGTGGTGGTGGAAATGGTGGCAGTGTGGACGGCAACAATGATTTTGGTAATAATGAAAGCAATTTTGGAGGTGTGGAATCATGTGAAATCACAATGATTTTGGCAAGTGGAATAATATTCAAATTTTGGACCCACAAAGGGCGGAAATGTTAGAAGCACCAGCTCTGGAGCTGGAGGCCACACTTTGCCAAACAGTGAAATCAAAGTGGCTATGATGGTTCCAGCAGTAGTAGCTATGGCAGTGATGGAAGGTTTTAATCATTCCCGGGATACAAAGTTTAGCAGGAGCTGGGGTACTTATGCCACTTAGCTCAGTGGCATAAGTACCTGCTGACAAGTACAAGGTCCTGTGTGATTCCTGGTACCAAAACAAACAAACAAAGCTTAGCAGGAAAGGAGAGCCAGAGAAGTCAGGCAAGTTACTAGTTACAGCAGATCTGTGAATTAAGCCAAGTGGCAGCAGGGTCTAAAAAGTGGACATGTTTTAGACAACACTCATGTGTATGGACAAAAAAACCTCGAGGACTATAGTTGTGACTAAATGTTTAACAGGTAATTTAGTTCCCAATCTTGGAGAGTATAAAGCATCCCAACAAAGGATTTTTTTTTTTTTTTTGTCTTTTTCGTTTTTATCGGTACCTGGGATCGAACTCACGACCGCCTGCTTGCAAGGCAGGTGCTTATGCCGCTGAGCTAAATCCCCAGCCCTTCAACAAAGGATTTTAATCTGCATTCTTTTTCAGTTCCTATGTTGCTGACTGCTAAATGTAACAGCCTGAGCTTGATGCTGAATCAGTATCTTTTTAAAATACAAGTATAAAATGTCAAGCAAAGCAGCATGGTAATAATATATTTCATACTGTGAAAATAAATGGATTTATTTACATGTACACTAAATATGATTTGTTTTATTACAACAAATCAGAAAGTAAGATACATTCTTTTAGGGCTATAGAAAGATTTTTATAAAGTTTTTCTCAAAAGATCATCTCTGGCACATGAGGACACTTGTGTGAGGAATTATGAATCAGTTCTTGGCAAACTTATCTGGAATGCATATTACAGAATATTTCAAATTCATTGTAAACTTGCCAGCAGCAGCCAGTAATCTTTTTTGGTATTTTGTGAAAAGGATGGGCTGGTTTATTAAAAATTATTTGCCAGCATGCTTATCTATATGTCTGCCCTAGGCAGTAGTGTAGATGTGAACAGCAGTGACAGGATAAGACACCCTAATTAAATACTGCCTGTGTTTCAAAAATAGAAGCTGAGTTGCTCAAGAATATAAATGGCAAATATGATACACAGAGGCTGAAGAAAGAAAGCATTAAAGCAGTCTGTTGGATATATTTATTATAATCAATGGTTCATCAGAAATATTATAAAGATGTGTCTCAAGAGGACTTCTGGGAAGATGACAGGGCAGTAAGCAGCAGTAACTCAACCTCAACAAGATTCGGAATCCAGACACTGGAAAATAACGTCCTGGGAAAGAAAAGGAGGGAGGCAGATGCCCTAGGACCAGAAAGGGAAAACAGGAGCACACAGAAACAGTCAAGAGACGGACCTCATTGCAGAAGGAGGAGAAGGTAAATTGTGCTTTCTCCCCGGCTCCCAGCTCTCAGCATCAGAAAGGATAGAATCTACAGAGACACAGTGAGGGCGGATGACTTGAGTCCTCCAGGGAAAGATACACCAGTGGAATGAAGCAGTGGATGCTCTCTGCTACGACGTCTGGTGAATGACTACAGTCCAGGAAACTGCTTCCCTGGAGAGGGTGCTTGGTAGGCATCACTTTTGAGGAGGAGCCAAGTGAACCTGGCACTCAGTGGCTGGCTGAGAGACAACCAAATCCAAGGTTGGGGAGCTATGGTAGGCCATCGAGACACAACCAGAATGCTGTGGGCTGAATGACTCTGGCCCCAACCCCACAATCAGAGGCCAGGATCAGCCTTAACTCCTGTGGATTTGAAAACACTACAATCAGCACCCTGCCCTAATCCTACTGCTGGAATTATCAGGCACAGATCTAGGCTGCCTCCTTGTAGACCAGTGACATCAGTCACAGTATGAATTGAATACCACCATAAAACTGCAGACCCCAGAAGATAACCATAAGCTAGAAATCAGAGAAATTTCTTTTTGTTTGTTCTTATTTTTCTGTTTTTGTTTTTTTTTTACAAGTATAAACATTGTTTTTCGATTTGTTTTGTTCTTGCCTTTTTGTTTTCCTTTTTTCTTCTTCCTCTTCTTTCTTTTTCTCCTGTCTTCCTCACTAGTTTCGGAAGCTTGGGTAATCTTCCTTTGTCCTTCAGATATGTTTCTAATCTCTTTCTCTTATTTCTCCACTTTTCCTTTTGTCTCTTTTAAATTTTCTCACCTTAGGGTATATCCCATTCTATTGAGAGGACACCTATTTACTATATAATTTTCTGATCTTTCTGAACTATATTTGCTATATATAATTTTCTGAACTATTCTTCCTTGTATGTCAATACAAGGGTCATAAACAATTCCATAGTTTGGTTCTAAAGAACTGGGTGCTAGGCCTAACAGGCAGCAACCTTTTATCCCTAATAAACAAGAGGTAGGATCTTGGGGCAGACTAAAAAGTCAGAAACACCTAGAAGACATTTCTGAAAAGTTGTTATTTTCCAAAGGTCTCATTACTAGAAATAAAGCGACATAACAAAGCAATTTACAAGCATCAATGCAAAACAAATTTATAAAAGAAAAGACAAGAAAGGAAAAGAAAATGAGAAAACATGGAAGCAACATGCAACCCCAGACTTTCAGTCAGCCCAAGGAAGATCTGGCAGGCACTGAGGTATAAAAAAATCAAAAGCCACCCAGCTACACTTTTGGTAACAGTGGAAGTAATAAAGCAAATGAATGAGTCTGTAGGGGAAAAAAAGAGAGAGAAGTAATTACACAGGTAACTAAAGAGATGACCATAATGAAGGACACAGCTAGTGAATCTAGAATAAACACAATTTTTAAAAAATAAAGGAGCTTAGGAAAGTGATGAAACCATGAGTGACCAACATAGGAAAGAATAGGATTGCATAAAACAGAATCAAATCCATAGTGAGGAGATTAAAAATTCTATTGAAAGTATATGCAGTAGAATCAATTAATGTAAAGAGACTCTCAGAAATAGAAAACAGGGTTGTGGTTAGCAACAATCAAAATAGCAAGGGACCATGAAAAATTAATTTAACAGCTGCTAGATGATACAATAAATAATGTAAGATTAATTGGAATCAATGAAAAATCAGCACAAAGGACATAAAAACCTATTCACAGAAGTAATGGCATAAAACTTCATAAGAAGGAAAAAAATTTAACATGGACATAAGTGAGGCATACCAAGATCCAATTAGCCATGATCAGGAAAACAAAACAAAAAAAACCAACAACAACAACAAAATCAATGCATATAAGACTCCAAAAATTCACCACAGGAACAGACTATTAAAAGCAATATTGTAGAAACTAAAAAATCACCTATAAAAGAAAACTCATCAGAATCACACCAGACTTCTCATCACAAACTCTCAAATCATAGAGTTTTTTGTGAAGTGTATTAAGCCCTAAAAGAAAACAACCTCCAAACCACACTGATGTACCCTGTAAAATTATCTTTCAAATCTAGAGAAACAAATACTTTCATGATAAAGAGCAACTGAAGAAGTTCATGACCACCAAATCAGCACTCCAAAACATTGTGAAGGATACTCCAGGAAAAAAAAAACAATGGAGACAACAATTCTATGAATCTCAATAGAATGAATCCACCAGGGAGGCAA